GCGGGGCCGTGTTGGCCTTCAGGTGAATTCAGAGCCCCGCGCCCGCCCTGCGCGGCCTCTCGCGGGCGCCACACGCGCCGGCAGCGCCGCGGGCACCGCGAGGCGAGGAGCAAGGCCCTCCAGATCATCCTGAGGTACAGAAACACCTTCACAGCACTTCTGTCCCCCGGCTTTTAAGTTTTCGGGATGGACTTTCTTCATACTTTTATTGCGCAGAGGCTTTTGTGAAGTTAAAGTTGCCAAAACAGAACCACCCGGCAGGTGCTGCGGTGCTTGGAGGAGCCGCACCCAGCAGAAGTGACAGGGCCTGCCCTGGAGAGTCTGGCAACAGGGAAAGCGTCTCAAATTGTACCTGGTAAAGTTCTTCCCGTGGTCAAGGACAGTCTTTCCATACCAGCTCAGTTAGAGCTGGCTTGGATCAGCCTTTTCAGCAGATAAACCCAACACGGCTGTGCTCCCCCGGCACCCACACCGTGCAAGTCTTCCCGTCTCCTTCCAAACAACATTCCCAGAGCCACAGTAAGGCATGCCTGTCTTTGCATCTGGGCTCTGCTAGGTGTTCATTCTAACTTATTATTTATTGAGAACCCCCAAAGTCTTCCTGCAGATTCCGTTCCATGCTTTAAGCAGCTGAATCTGACTCAACATAGCTGAGTGCGGTGAGGCTTCAAATAGCTTTTCATGCAAGTTACCCAATTACCCACTGCTAACCCCAGCCTTCGGTTAGTGCTCAGCACCCAGTGAACTACAGGGCTTCCTTGTGACATTTAATCTTTCAGAAAAGCTCTGTCTGTGGCCACTCTAGATAAGTGCAGTTGTAGATCTGTGCTTGGTTATTCCAGAACATGTTTAGGTTACCTGCTAATAACTCCCGTGCCATTCCCTCAAAGGATACCTAGAGTCCATGGCAAGGTGATAATTTTTTAATCAATCATATTTTTTCAGTGTATTTGCTTCAAGTCTAGCCTTTCCAATTTTGGTGGATAGACCATACTTTATAATTGATGCTCCTTTAGGCAAAAAAAAGTCTTTACAGAAAAGCTGGCATGTCAGGAGGCAGCACTCTGTTTATGATCCAATCCAAGCTTTAATAAGTGCAAACTATTATCTGTTTGAAATTTATGCACTCTAAGCTGTATTTCATTTGGAAAATTTGCATTTGTCCCATATGTATTCAAGCTAGGAGGCACAAAATAACTTACACAGTTTCTCTTGACTATATAATCTGTCTGGCAGTAATTTTCCTTCATCATCCTGGTTACACTACAGTTTTCACCCTGACAGGCAATTTGTGTTGAGAGCCTGTGGAAACACATATGGATTTTTTGATCTTAAGAAGGAAAAGTAGTTTGCATAATGTGTATGAATCTAAAAAATATGCCCTGATGCTCACTTCTTTGAAGCAAATTTAGAGTCGCTTT